TTGATGTAATTGATGTAATTGATTGATTGATTGATTGATTGACTGATTGACTGAGTGATTGATTGATGTAATTGATTGATTGACTGATTGATTGAGTGAGTGAGTGAGTGAGTGAGTGAGTGATTGAGTGATTGATTTGATTGATTGATTGATGAGATTGGTTGATTGATTGATTCGTTGATTGGTCTGATTGATTTGATTGTTTGATTGCTAGACAGGAAATTACTTTAATTGGTGCAACTTGGGATATATTTGTTCGCAAGGTTAATACTCAAGTGTAAGGTAGGGAGGAACAGCGACGCGGAAGAGAGAAGAGGACAAGACAAAGGAGGACGCAATGATGGTGAATTACTATGCCCATGACTTTTCGCTCATGGAAAGACACCCAGAACTGGCCCCACTCTGCTCCAGATAATCTATATCTACCGTAGCGCACCTTCCATTCCACCATCTCTCTCCCAACCGCGTCGGGGAAGCCGAAACGCGTCGGCGAATGCGCTATGCATGTTATGTCTGCGCAGGAACAGTTAGCCATTTTTGTTCTGTTCATGGATGGGCTAATATCGTCGGCCTCGCTCTTCTTCTTCTTCTTCTTCTTCTTCTTCTTGGACTGCTGCTTTCATCCCTCCTCCTCTACCTCGTCTTCCTCTCCTTCTTCCTGGTCGTTGGACTGCTGTTTTCATCCCTCCTCCTCCTCTACCTCGTCTTCTTCTCCTTCTTCCTGGTCTTCTTGTCCTTCTCCTCCTCCTCCTTTTCCTCCTCTTCCTCCTCATCCTCCTCTTGGTCGTCAATACCTTACTCACTTTTTTCTGTCTTCCTTCTCCCTAAAGGACTCTGTCTCATCGTTCTCGTCACCCTGATCTCTGTCTCATCCTTCTCGTAACCCTGCTCTCTGGCACCTAAAGGCTTGCTTTTTGTCTAGTACTCCCTAAAGGCTTGCTTTTTGTCTAGTACTCCCTAAATGCAGCTTTCTGGCACCAAAAAAACAAAACAGCACAGCTTACCAGTCGGACTCTCGAAAATGCCGATGCCTCCTCGAGCCAGCGTCGAATAGACGGCGCGCATAAAATCCAGCTGAATGCCATACGGCTTAAACGGGAATGCAGGGAAGTCGGATCGGTCACAATTGCCAATCTGCCCCTCGCCGTCCTCCACCATCGCGTCGAACTGTCCTTCTTCAGTGCAGTCGCGAAATGCTCCTGGCTACCCTCACCTTCTCCGCTCTGTTCCCAATCTCGACCCCCCCGATCCGCATGGGAGGTCGGGATTGCATGCGCGCTGCCGTGCTGTCCGTGCCAATCCCAACCCTATCAATGCCGACGGCCAGCAATCCGTGCTTCCGCTTGGCGCCGCCCTCTGCATGCAGCATGTCCACCACGCTGAGGCTCTAGCTCTAGATCGGCGGATCTTTTGCTTTTATAGAGCGTGTTGCGGGTAATTGGCTCAAAATGAGAAAAACGCGAAGATGTCAGAAAGATACGTCCCATGACATACGGCAGAACGCCAGTTTAAAAATATGTTATTTGAGGTGAGAGAAAAATATATAGCGGAGGAGAAGGCAACTTTTCTGTACAAAAAAGAAAAGATAGGCAACCGCTATGCATCACTGTGCAGACGGATATATATATATGACTATATGTATATATATCGTCAAATATATATATATATATATATGAGATCGGCGCTGCACCACTGACTGCCAAGGTTCTCCTCCGCTAATGACGTACCCTTGAAATCGGTAATTATTTCCACATCCCCGCGGCAAAGTGTCCGCCCTTGAAACGGAAGTGCGGCCCAGCCAAATCAACGAAAATCCGAAGGGTGCCTAGGGAGGTCACTTGGGGCGCAAGGGGTGGAGCCTTCAAACGGTACTATACGGACCTTTTTCTTTTTGCTTTTCTTTTTCCACCAATCACCACTGTTACTGGTGCAATGCCGTCAGCACTTCAGTTTCAAGGACGGCCGTCTCAAGAGTTTCGTCAAGGGGTTGTGGAACGAAAAAACAAGCCCTTGAAACTCAAGTATTTTCAAGTGGTGTAGAACGAGGTCCTTACTATGCACATCTGATTGTGGGCCTCGCCACACTACTCCCGACTTGGCCACTTGGCCATTTTCGGGAGTGCAGCGTCGCCACACCAGCTCCCGTGTTCAACCTGTCAGATTGAATTTGGAAGCTGCCAGAATATGGCTCCCAATAACACTCCCGAAATTGCTCGAGTCTCCCGCCTGTAGAAGGCCATTTTTGGGGAGACCTCTCGCGGAGGCCTGTGTTTCTATCGGAGAACTCGTGCGCAGACAAGCATTCTCCTCACAGTTTTCGTCACCACATGCTGAACAGTCTTTCTCTGAAGTGGACCGGAGAACTCGTGCACGGACAAGCATTCTCCGCACAGGGCAAGCATTCTCCTCACAGTTTTCGTCGCCACATGCTAGACAGTGTTGGACAGTCTTTGTCTGAAGTGCCCCTCCTGGCCTCCAAATCGGAGAGTGCCCCAAGTCGGTGTGGTGAAGCGCACTCCCGAATAGATTTTCACGTCTTTGGACGTTCGGGAGTACTCCCAAAATTTCTCCAAATCAGGAGTAGTCTGGCGAGGCCCATACTCACACCCAAACTCACTTCCTCAGAGCATACTCGTACCCAGACTTCTTCAACTGAGGGCATACTCACACTAGCACTTTCCAAGATGCATGTGACCGCAATTTTGGTCACACCTGTATGCATCTGACCGCAATTTCGTCCATAAATAAGTAAAAAAGTCCTAGTGTGAATATGCCTCCCTCAGCTCGGGACGAAATCGTGCTCAAATACATCAAGGGGTCAGGCTGTAGTTTCGATCAGATATAGTCACGTGAATGGTGTGTGCATGCACCGATTGGCGCCTCGACACACGTTGCGCAAACCTCCGGGAAACCAACCTAAAAAAAAAATTGATATACCACGCAAGGTGTGGTGGCGCAGCTTGGAGGACGCCTAGCACAACCAACTAGATCTGAAAAACGAATCGCGCGGCCTAAAAGCGCCACAAAAAACATGGAAAAAAAAAAATGGTTATGCAACCACTCCCCCTAATACATTTACAAATATGTTTAGATACACACACATCTAGATACACACATGATCACTAATCACGTGTCGTTGACTTCAAAATCCCTGCCAGGATACTGAATAACAAACGCAAATTGGGTCTCGCTCCACTACTCACCAGATGAGCGAAATGAGAATGAATCTTCCGCTAGAGAATGAAGTATACATCCCCATATTTTGTCTTTTGAATCCGCCAAGGGAGAGATAAACGCCCAAACACAAACAAAAAAAAACTTCGCCCCTCAGCTAGAAGTAGGTTTTTCTTCCCTCCTAAGGCCCGCCACAATCCTCCCCTTTCCAAAACGGAAAACATCGGTTGCAGTCCAAAATAGATGTCAAACGACCTCTACAGCCTACCGCTGGACTTCTAGGCTTTTACCTCTGCGACGACCCTTCGACCTACCGGTCTTAGGCGCACGTGCGACCTTACCCTTCCCTAGTGTCCGGCGGCGCCCTCCGAACCCCTGTTCCTTTACGACGATAATCCCCAACAAGAAAGTTGTGCTAAACGAAAAAATACAGCCAAGATAAGTGCAGTCTCTTGGCTGCAAATTGCGAGTCTAACTAATTGCGAAAAAACAGATTTTTTGTAAAAAAAAAAACAAAAAAAAAACGGATTTTGTTTTTTATGTGGGGGTCTGAAAACACGATTCAAGTCGAGTGACCTTGTACAGTCGGTTAGGAACGCAAGTGGTATGCAAGAGGTCATTGGTTCAATCCCCAGCGACAACTTGCGACACTCTTAGTGTCAACCAACTGAGGTAGATAGTTGGTTGCTCCCCCCATTCAGTATCGCTAGGGTTTTTGGTTATCGCGGTTGTGCGCGTGTGGGGGGGGGGGGGGGGGGGGGGGGGGGGGGGGGGCGGTGTGTGGTAAAGTGTTGGTAATAGACAATGTTGTTACTTGATGGGCACAGGGGACGTAGATGTCGGTCACGCCCACCAGCAGCCCCACCCTACTCCCTGACCACAACTGATTAAGGTGCGGGGCAACATGTGAGAGGAAGTTATGCTTGCAAGGGTCCCGTCTATAGGCCTAGGAGTAGTGGTAGAAAGGTAGTGCAAGGTGAAATTGAGAAAAAAATAGAAAGGAACAGAAAAACAGATTCCCCCTTTACCCAAACCACAATATTGTGTGGTCATTTTGAGTGATGTTTCCTCATGCATGCACATTTCTCCTTTGAGCAGAAAATCAAACAAATCAAAAGGTAAATGATGATTTTTGTAGGCTACCAGAGTGGTCCGCGACCACTTGGCCGGCCGGACCAAATATATCTATAGGGTTGTCGGCATTCGGGTTCGTCCGAACTTTCTAACCCAGACATGCCGAACGTTCGCCCCGCCTTGGGGATGCGTTCGGTCGTTCGGGCCAAACGAGGATTTAAAAAAAAAAAAAAAATCCAAAAACTCTGAAAAATATACCTGTTGTGCTGAAAAATAAAACGAACAACATTTGACTCAATGTTACATCCGAATTACTTACCAAATGTGGAAAAAAAAATAAAAATCAAATTAGTAAGTGGGAGAGCACGTTTTCGACACCACAATCTTTGGAGATTTTTTATTTTTTCTTGGGATAGCCAAACGCCCTAAAAATTTACAAATGTGTATATCACATAACATAAAGCTGATAAAAAAGTTTCAAAAAATAATAAAAAATATTTGAGGCACAAAAAGTAAATCAAAAAATAAGAATTTTTTTTTTTCCAGTGGTCAAGTAAGTTTTGACACTGCCATCTTTGGCAATTTTTTTTTTTTTTTTTGTGGTTTGGCAAAATGCCTTGAAAATCTATATGCATGTAGCGCATGTCATATAAAACTTACCAAATAATAATAATAATAATAATAATAATAATAATAATAATAATAATTTTTAGGCCCCGAAATAATTTATGGCGGTGGTAGAGCCCCTTCAGGTTCGGACCCCGAATGGGACCCCAAACGCCCGAACGTTCGGCACCCCCTCTTGATGCGTTCGGTTGTTCGGCCGAACGAAGATCGAAATAATAATAATAATAATAATAATAATAATAATAATAATAATAATAATAATAATAATAATAGTAATAATAATAATAATAATCAGGGTTGCCAGCGTTCGGGATGGGCCGAACGCCCAAACCCGAATGCCCGAACGTTTAGGAAGCCCTCTCGACGCGTTCGGACGTTCGGCCGAACGCGGAACAAAAAAAAAAAAAAAAAAAAAAAAAAAAAAAAAAAAGGTTTCAAAAAATTCTGAAACAAAAACAGTGTCATGCAGAAGAATAAACTAAACAACATTTGCCACAACAGTACATCTAAATTCCTTACCAGATTCGAAATAAAAATCAAATACAAAAAATAAATAATATTAAATGAAAATAAGAAAAAATAAAACGAGAATGAAATTATTGCGTGGGCGCTGAAGTTTTTGACACCGCCATCTTTGGCGATTTTTCTTTTTTTTTTGGCTTTGTCAAATGCCATAAAATTTTATACATATGTATCTTACATAATAGAGAACCTACAAATAAAGTTTGAAAAAATAATAATTTTTTTCATGCCCCGAAATAAAGGGAAAACAAAAAGTGAAAGCAAGTTTTGACACCACCATGTTTGCCGATTTTTCATTATTTTTTGGCTCGACAGAATGACTTCAAAATTGAGAGACGGGTAGCTTACATAACAGAGAATTCAAAAAAAACAAATCAGAAAAAAAAAATAATTTTTAGGTACCAAAATATTTTTTTGCGGGGTCCGAACCCCTTCGAGTTCGGACCCCGAACGGGGACCCGAACGCCCGAACGTTCGGGGGTTAGCTTAGGGGCCTCCGTACGTTCCGCCTGGCAACTCTGATAATAATAATAATTCCAAAAAATCTAAAAAATATATATGTTGTACAGAAGAATAAACAAAACAACATTTCCCTCAACATTACATCTAAATTCTTTACCAAATTTGAAATATAAATCAAATACTAAAAATAAATAAAAATAATGAAACTAAAAAAAATAAAACGAGAATGGAATTATTGAGTGGGCGAGCACGTTTTGGACACCGCCATCTTTGGTGATTTTTCATTTTGTTTTGGGTTTGACAAATGATATGAAAATTTGTAGATGTGTACCTTACATAATAGAGAATATAAAAATAAAATTTAAAAAAATAATATTTTTTTTCGTGCCCCGAAATAAAGGAAAAACAAAAAGTGAAAAAAAAAAACAAACAAATTAGTGAGTGGGCAAGCAAATTTTGACATCACCATCTTTGCCGATTTTTTTTTTTTTTTTTGAACAAAATGGCTTCAAAATTAAGAG